CCAAAACCCATATCAATGTCTGTGTCCATGAGTTGTGTATAAATACTCTTTTGGCTAAATTCTTTAATATCTTTCATTCTGCCCCATCGCCACACACCTTTCTGCCATCTGCTACTCTGTATTATGTATCTAAGCTTCTGTTACTATCTTGCTTGTTGGTTTATTTTTTCATTATATTCTACATATAGTTGAAAAGTGCTCAAAATCACTAATCATCTGAGAAATGCAAATTAAAAACTCAGTGAGAATCACCTTACACCTGTCAGACTGGCTATTATCAATAAATCAACAAACAACAAGTGCTGGCGAGGATGTGGAGAAAAGGGGACCCTAGTGCACTGTTGGTGGGAATGCAGACTGATGCAGCCACTGTGGAAAACAATATGGAGTATCCTTGAAAAACTTAAAAATGGAACCCCCTTTTGACCCAGCAATTCCATTTCTGCGAATATGCTCCAAGGATCCCAAAACACCAATGCAAAAAAGTATATGCACCCTTATGTTTATAGCAGCACTATTTACAGTAGCCAAGATTGGAAACAGTCTAAGTGCCCATCAGTAGACGAGTGAACCAAAAAACTGTGGTACATTTACACAATGTAATATTGTGCAGTAGTAAGAAAGAAAAAACCTCTTACATTTTGTAACAGCACAGATGGACCTAGAGAAAAGTTATTTTAAGTGAATTAAGCCATGAGAGACAAATATCATGGTTTTTCTAGTTTAATCCTTACTATAGAATTATGGAATAGATATTATAATTCCTATTTTCAGATCATGAATTAAGGACTAGAGGAATGCATTAACTTCCCCAAGGTCACATAGCATAGGATTAGAGCCAGGTTGATCATAGATTTGTCTAACTCAGAAGCAGTGCTCCTATCTCACCTCACCCATTTAACACCCGTGTTTCATTCTTGTCCTGTGCTTGGTTTCCCTTGTTAGTCTGTTGTTATAATTAGACTCTCCAGATCGGATCAGGTGGTGCTGACTTTGTGGTTCAGGAAATGTGGGATGTCTCTGCTCAGTTCTAGGGAAGGCCTAAGAAAGGGACTCAGCCCTGCTTGACAGTTAGCGGGCCATGGCTGCTGCCTGTGCCAGTGTCCATATAACTCCTGTGACAAAGCTCCCTGTAAGGCGAGACAGAGCCCCAGAAGTGGTTGGAGGGTGAGTTGCCTGGAACCTTGGAGTCTTCCTTAATCTGCCTCGTAGCTACAGAGATTATCCTGCTTGGCCCATACTGCAGCATATCAGCTCTTTAGGGGCAGTGGGGAATCATGTGTACAGCACAGGGGCAGGAAGCCAGGAATGGGAACCAACAGAGAAGAATCTTCATTATATAAGATGTGGAAAAAGAGGCAGCACTGTGGTGTGTGAGAATGGGCCTTGATCCAGGAATCAGAAGATTTGGACTTTGGTCTCATTCTGCCATAAAAATTTTCTTTGAGACCTTAAAATCACTTTACTCTTGGGGGGCCTCAGTTTCTTCATGTGAAGAAGTGGGGGGAATAGTATTTGCTGTCAACCCAGAGGCTTTGTAAAAAACAAAAAGACTGTGGACGTAAGAGCCCTTTAACAAGTCTTACGAAGCAGGGAGAAGTTGTTTGCATTACATTCCTCTGTGGACTTAGGTTCCCTGTCACAGATAGGTCCCCATAACTCTGGCAGTCTGGCAGACTTTCTGATAATAGAGTTGCCTTTCATTCCAAAGTGACTTTTATAAATGGAGGAGGCACTTTAACAGTCTGTTCTCTGAGTTTCTATGTTGGATCAATAATTTCTAGAAATGGAAAGAAAAGTCTGGGCCAGTTGTTAAGAGAAGACAAAGTGGCCAGCCATTTTCAGGGGCTGGTTTTTAGATTATCCAACCCTGATTACCCATAATGCCTCCCCAACTGATTGACACTCTTTGGAATTCCATCGGAATATCTCTGTGAATCCAGGAAAACTTCCTGGAGTGGAACATTTTTGACTCTCTAAATTATTCTTTTTTTGTGGTTAAGTTTTAGTAAAGGAAGGGGAGAGAGCCCATGAAACAGACAGCATATCTGAGGGTGGAATAGGGAAGAGGCGTGTGAAGTGAAAGAATAAAAAAAGAAGATGACTCAGGGAGTTAGAGACAAACTTCACAGTATGCACAATATTGTGCAAAGGACCGAATTGGAGAAAGGTCTTCCTTCTGGAAACTCCTAGGAGCCTATGTAGGAATTGTTTGGGGTGCTCAGAAACTGCTGCGTGGGTTTGCAGCCCTAGGTGCAGGTACTCACCTTACTGTGGCCCCCTGGCTGGTCTGGAACAGAATGGGCCTGGCACATCCATCATCCTTCAGGCAGCACATGTCATCACTCAGGGAAGACCGAAGAAGGTGTCCAGCACAGAAGAAAAAAAGGCATCAGGAAGGGGTCGAAGGGCAGTACAGCCTGGCTCCTGGGGGTACTTCTGCTTGTTGGGCAGGAAAGCACATCTGGGAAGGGTGCTGGGAGGTCTGAGCTCGTGCTCCTTCATGAATGCCGTGGTTCCCTTGGCACAGTGTCTTGAGTGTGTCATTGGCTGGACTCACTGCCTTCTCCAGGGCGTGGGGCCCACGAGGCAGTGTTTCCACTATTAGTATTAGTGCCTGTGGCTTGGCAGCTCAGCTGATCCCAGGAGAGTGGCCAGGACCCAGGAGACCAGCCTGGACACAGGGTTCTCTGATGTGTGCTCCAAAATTTGGCACTGAGAAGAAAGCCCAGGAAAACTTACATATGGTCAAGACATGGATGGGGCGTCTCCCTGCCTGGGTCCTGGAAGATGTAGCCTTCTTTTAAGTGATACACTCTTCTTTTTCAAAATATTTAGCTGTGAAACATGTATTGAAAACTGAGTCTGTTTCCCACCTTTCCCATTCCTCTCCAGGGGTAAGCTCCATTAATGTTTTGACATGTACCCCCATTCATGCACTTTTCTGTGCACATATGTATATGTACAATTTTGTTTCTACAAAAATGAGTTCAAGCCCTGGCTGGTGTAGCTCAGTGGATTGAGCGCGGGCCTATGAACCAGACGATCGTGGTTTGATTCCCAGTCAGGGCACATTCGTGGGTTGCAGGCCAGTTCCCAGCAAGGGGTGCACCAGAAGCAACCATACATTGATATTTCTCTCCCTCTCTCCTTCCCTTCCCCTCTAAAGATAAATAAATAAAATCTTAAAAAAAATGAGTTCATTTGTTCTGGATTTTCTTTGTTTCTCTCATCTCATATAGTTATCACAGTCCTCCTATCACCCTCAGGCCTAGCTCATTATTTAAAAGTATTTTATAGATGGACTGGAAGATATACACATTTCTGTACTCATGCCATTTACCTCCTTTTTAGGGGGTGGGGGGCAGCTATTACAAAAGCAGCACTACATGGATATTCTTTTACAGGCATCTTTGTGTCCATACATTTTCCTAGAAATGGAAATGCTAGAGGGAAGTATACAGGCATTTTTAATTTCATCTGTGCCACCAGGTTATCCTTGAGAAAGTTAAAAGCAATTTATTCGCCCTCGAGGGCACACGGGATGCCCGTTTCCACAGCGTGACAGCACCGTTTGCAAATGCTTTGCTGTCATCCAGCCTGATGAAGGGAAAAGAAACAATACTTGGTGAAAGTTTTCCTTTTTATTTTCCTAATTACTGGGGACATTTTTTGACCATTTTAGTTTTTCTTCTTTGAATTTTCCAACTACATCTTTGCCCACTTTTTCTGTGTGGTTACTGTGGTATTTTAAAAATTTACTTACATGTGATAAAAAGATACTGATATCCTCTTTTGTTTCCCTTCTTGGTCTGACTCGTAATCTCTAACTGTCCTCAGTATCCAGCTTGGATGGACATGTTTTCTTTTGCTTATGTGGTATTTATTCTGAGGACAAAAATCATTAGTTTCCCTAGAAAGTAAAATGTGACATTTCTTATTGGATCTTGTATCAGTCAGTACTCAAAAACCTGAAACACATATGGACACAGACATCACTGAATGCACACATGTTGAGTGTTTACCATGTGTCAGGCACTCTGTTTAAAGTGTTCAAATGCTTTTTATGTCTTTTAACCTCACAGTAACCACATACATTGCCCCCATGTTCCTTGTATCCTTGTTCATGACAGTCAAGATAGGGAAACAACCTAAGGGTGGTGTATCTGGCACTTAACTGTGATCCAAGTCAGTTCCAGTAGTATCTGTTACTCAGAGGAGCCCTATGACATAGTTGTTCTTCCAGGTTTACGGGAAAAAGAAATAAGGACTGAGAATACGAATGTGCCTCAAGTTACATAGTATGCAAGTGGGAGGCTTTTGGTTCTGACTTGAAGTCTTGAGTTCTTGTCACTGTAACACTAAATATAATTAGAACAAGGGTATATGTGTGAAGGGCCTTCGACTAACATAATCCAATTACTTTAATTTGAATGTGGGGAAACCAAGGCTCAGAGACATCAAGTGATTATGTAACAGTCACACAGTTCATTAATGGCAAAGCTGGCCCTGGAATTCAGGACTTAAATTAAAGCTTCATTCTTCTTCTGTAGAACAGTACCTGTTTAAGCGTGGAGTATCCAATTATCTCCTTCGTATTTCATTCTACTAGACATGATGAATCTTTTATTCCTGGGTTAGAGATATCTGTCTTCCATAGTTTCTTTATAACTTCAGCTGAACAAAAATTTGGACTTTTATTTTCATTTTACATGTGTACAAGCCTTGTATGTGGACTTGTCTTAACCATCCAGTAAAAATAAACAAGAACCATGTGGCAGTGGGCAGTAAACTACTTAAAGCAAGGGCACTTCACAGAGATGATGGGAGGTTACTGGTATCACTGGTCCCCTCCCTGTCCTCAGACATCAATCTGCGCTTTGAAATATAAACACGAGAGAAAGAGAAGTGTCAGGTTCAGAGAAGCTACAGTGGTTGGGCTTTCAGGAGCCCAATTTTTGACTCTCAGTTCTGAGGCTTGGAGTGATGATGTTAAGGTTCTAAAAAGACTTTTGGAGTGTTTTTCTTCTGAGTAGTTTTCCCAGGGCCTCCTTCATATCCCTGTTTCTCAGGCTGTAGATGAAAGGGTTCAGCATGGGGGTGACCACGGTATACATCACTGAGAAAACTCTGTCCTTTCCATCTGAGGAGGATGATGGAGGACATAAATAGACCCCAATAGCTGTACCGTAGAACAGAGAGACCACAGAGAGGTGGGAGGTACAGTTGGAGAAGGCCTTTTGCTTACCCTTTGGGGAATCAATCCTTAGAACAGCCAATGCAATGTAAAAGTAAGATGTAAGGATGCAGACAAAGGGTCCAATTAGCAGTGTTCCTGCCACAAGGAAGAGCATCAGGTTATTCACATAAGTACTGGAGCAGGCCAGCTTCAGGAGGAGGACCAGATCACAGAAGAAATGGGGGATGATATTGGGGCCACAGAAAGAGAGCCTGGTCACTAGGAGGGTATGCACTAGGGCATGGAGGGTAGTGACCACCCATGCCCCACCCACCAACAGGATACAGCGTTGGGCGTTCATGCTCATGGCATAATGCAGAGGGTGGCTGATGGCTACATAGCGGTCAAGTGCCATCACAGCCAGGAGAAAGTTATCCAGATCTGCAAATAAGCCAAAGAAATACAGTTGTGTAAGGCATTCATGGTAAGAAATGAGTTTACTTCCTGAGCCAATATTATCTAGCATCTTGGGAATCACTGTAGAGATGAAACCAATGTCAGAAAAGGACAAGTTGGCCAGGAAGATGTACATGGGGGTGTGAAGTTGCACGTCAGAGCTGATGGCCAGAATGATGAGCAGGTTTCCCAGGACGGCAACCAGGTACATGCCCAGGAAGAGCCCGAACAGGAGAAGCTGCTGCTCTGGGTGCTCAGAGAGGCCCATGAGAAGAAATTCATAGATGCTGGTCTGATTTCTTCTGTCCATGTCTGCCATTCTGTGTGAAATAAATTATATGAACTATAAATAGCAAAAAAGTAAAATGCTGCTGTGTTGAAATTTTTTGAACCCCTAAAAAATTATGTGGTTTAGACAATTCTGTTTGGTAAAGCTTGAAGTTATAACTGCACATTATAAAAGACAATTTGTGAAGTTAAGGTTGGTGTCAGCACTTGGAAGACAGATATCCTAGACTCCTTCCAGCAGATTCAGCTGTCCCCGTGAAACATAGCAGGTAGCCTGGGGAGTGTGCTCTGGGTTGCACACATCCTGTCAGTAGACAACAAACAATAGTAATGCCCCTGAATAATTATGTAATTAAATAAACAGCATTTACATAATCACAATTAAAATAATTAATAGTATATATAATGTGATAATATAGAATTCTAAATACAATAATTATATAATTAATTAAAATAATTTTTAAAAGTAAAATTTCAGAAGAGTATGTATGTTTATAATTTCACATTTGTAAAATTAAACCAATAAATGTATGATTAAGGACACTAAAAGAATACATTCTAAAGGTCAGAAGGATTTATTTCTGAGAAGTGAGTATGAGTCAAAGGGTTGTGGGTGCTGCCTTCTATGTTGCTCAGTTTTACCAGGATATGTTATCTTTGTAATTAAAAGATTACTTTAAAAGTATGATGGATGTGATTCATTGAATTAATCCAGGTGACCACCCAGAAGGCTATCTGGGGATTTGGGGGGTTCTGACAAGTTGACCAGGGTGTAATCTTTGAAAAGGCATCTCTGACAAGTGAGTAGGAGAACAAAAATCAAATGTCTTTGACCCTGTGTGAAGAAAATAAAAAGTGGTGGAGCAAGACTTTCTCATCCTAGCCCAGTCCATCCAGGCCCTTTAAAATCTTCCCAGCTGTCGCAAAGAAAAAGCTGTAGGAAGTACATACAATATTGCTCCGGTTCCCTCCAACATGGCTGGGGATTACTCATGCTTTTTCCTGCCAGCATTGATGTTCTTCACTCACCTGTGTTTCTCCACCTAGTTTGAACCTCTTTGTCTGGATTTTTTTAATCTAAGCTTTAAACAGTATATTCCAGACTCTGACTCCTTTGCTCTCACAAGGCTTTCTTGTGTTCAGATATTAGATTGATATACTGCAAACCTAAATAGAAGGGGTCAAATCCTTATTTCATCTCCCCAAACTGCACCTTAGTTTGTTTCTAGCTCTGTTGTGAGATCTTTTTATTTGAGACCCAGATATCTTTATTTTCCATAGCAGCCACAGTGAAGCTACACCAGGAATCTCATAACTAGAAAATACTGGATATTAAGTTTATGTAATCCAGATCCATTGCTCTGATTCAATGAAGAAGTCAGGATACTAAGAACACTGGATGAGCACTAGCCATGTGCTATGTGCTGATCACTAGATTCTCTTAAGTGGTAACTCTGTGCAGAGGTGCTATGAGTATCTTTACTTTAAAGATAAATGTAGAAGCTGAAGTTCAGAGGGGTTAAGAAACTTGCCAAAAGCCACACCTTTAGGAATTGAAGTAAAATAGTCTGAGTCAGAAGCCTAAGATCATTCTTCTGCTATGCTGCTTTTCAGTATTCACCAAACCACATGCTGACTCTAGTTCAGCTTCCTGCATATTTTCAATAAAGAGAAAATGCACCTTCAGCAAATCCGTTCATTCATGCATTCATTCCAACCGTATCAAGATATAGCTGATGAATAAAAATTACATATATTTAAGTATATAGTGTGATGTTTTAATATATTTAATACATAATTACAGATACAAGGTAAAATAATCACCACAATCAAGTTAACACATCCATCATGTTAGAAGATTTAAATATTCAATTTGACAGTTATAGTTCATGGCAAATGAGGGTATTTGGTATTTGGGGCTTATGCATCAATCTTTTGTGAGTGTGATTGATGTGAATCAGTCCACTCCAGTCCAGTGCTTGGGTAAGGTCCTGTTTCTACACTGGTGAAGCTAAAGCCTCAGACCACGATTTTTACATGAGAGGCCCAGATTCTTTCCTTTCTGGTCTGTCTTTCTCTCTCTCTCCCCACCCCCCACCCCCAACTGCAGCTAGATCCATATTTAGGAGCTTTTCATGTAGCAGAAAATACAGTGATATATTCTGTTACATTCATTCAACTGTATCACCTTTACAATGAGAATTACAAATAAATAAATGAACATTTATTATAGTTTTCACTTTTCTTGATCAAGGGTAAATTAACCTTCAGGAATCTCATTTAGTTACTAGAAGCATACAGCATAAACAGTGATACTGATCCCAGATGAAAATGTACAAAATGAATTAATATTCTCAGAGTTATTCTGATATTCTGGACATATAAACTAATAAAACATAAAACAATTGGTTTTGGGGAAAACGACATGTCCTTTGGTTTCAACCTTTATTGTGACAGATGGTCTGACACCCTGGCCAAGGGTCTAAGTTGGAGGAATGTGTCACAATCATGAGGGGAGCATTTCCTATGCTCCCCCCCAAAATGGAATTCCCACTGTATCTGCACACTTAAAACCACTACATTAGACTTATCTATGTGCTTTCAAGGGGAATATTCAGATTGCATAAAGAAAAAAATCTGTCTTTACTAAGAAAATTTTAATTTGCCTTATATAACAAACCTAATAATGTGCTTGAATAATTCATTTATCTTCTCTGAGCTGTAGTTTCCCTCTGTGGAAATAACTACATCTGTGTCATAGGCTGTTGTGAGGTGTCTTGTTGCTCACATCAAGAAAATGTCAATGCTATTTCTTATCATGACATAGCCAACCCTTCATGATTCTGTCTCCATCTGTCTATCCAATAGCACTTCCACAAATGCCATGCCACTCAACATTCTTGCCCATGAATCCACTTATGGTCCTCAAACAACTCATCACGTCCTCCCTGCATGCTTAGCTGTTTCACCTTCCTGAGTCTTCTCCTTTTCGCTGCCCGGCAGAAGCTCAGGTGTCAACACCTGGGGCTGTTAGAGTTTGTTGCTTTATCTGCTGTGCTCCCTGTTTATGGGTCTCTGGTAGAACACTACCAAATAATTTCTTACTTATCTCCATTACACTGTGTCCCTCAGTGCCAGGGACTCATCTTTATTCATCTAGTAATTTTCTTAGTACATACTTGGTAATCATCTGTTGACTAAATCGGTGGGTGGGTGGGCTATAAAATGACATTTTAAGCTATGATGAAACTAGGTGGGTGTTACTCTTTAGATGCTAGCATTTCCTTTTACTTACAGAGATAGTTAATAAAACAAATGACTCTTATGTGAAGATCTTAGGTTGCCTAGCATACATTTTAGTATAGAAGGTGTTCAAAATTGTGAAAATGAAAAAAAAACGTATTGCAGATGTTGTTTTTTCTCTTTGAATTACTTTATTGTTGTTCAATTAAAGTTGTTTGCACCACTCCCCTTCACCCTATCCAAACCTACCTGCCTCCCTTGCTTCCACCCTCCCCCTTGGTTTTGACCCTGTGTAACCCTTTATAGTAGTTCCTGAAAACCCATCCCCCCACTGTTCCTTCCCCCTGCTCCTAATCTGTTGTTAGATTGCTCCTAATTTCAGTATTTCTAGTTATATTTTGTTTGCTTTTTTCTTTTGTTCATTTATGTTCCAGTTAAAGGTGAGATCATATGGTATTTGTCCCTCACCGCCTTGCTTTCAGAGAGATGCATTAAAACCACAATGAGATACCACTTTACACCAGTCAGAATGGCCATCACAAACAAACCAACAAACAAGTGTTGGAGAGGATACGGAGAAAAGGGAATCCTAGTGCACTGTTGGTGGGAATGCAGACTGGTGCAGCCATAGTGGAAAAGAGTGTGGAATTTCCTCAGGAAACTAAAAATGGAACTGCCTTTTGACCCAGTAATACCACGGTCGGGATTATACCCTAAGGACCCTGAAACACCAATCCAGAAGAACCTATGCATCCCAATGTTCATAGCAGCACAATTTACAATAGCCAAGTGCTGGAAGCAACCTAAGTGCCCATCAGTAAATGAGTGGATCAAAAAAAACTTGGTACATTTACACAATGGAATTCTACACAGCAGAGAGAGAAGGAGCTCCTGCTCTGGAGACATTATGTTAAGTGTGAATGCTGAATTAGTGATCAATTGTGCATTTTCACAAGTACTGGACTCATGGTTTGTTTATATCTTACATTTGAGCTAAATATTATTTTGTTTTAATTGAAAAAGAATGTAGAGAAATGAATGCTTGGCACTCAGATTTAACAATTTAACATGAACATATCTTCATGTGCCCTTCCCAGTGCTGAGAAATGTTTCTCCAATTCTCTTGCATTTACATACTTGAAAACAGCCAGCACAACCTGACATGCTCCATCCACATGTCAGGCCCCTCTCAGGAGTACATGGAGGTTTTAGGAAGCTGGTTTCAGGGACCAGAGGGTCAAATTCATAATCTGGGGGAATAGTCCTCTGGATCAAAGCTACCTTGCCACCCCACCCTTTAGGAACCAAAGGACATTAAGTCAACTATTTCATTAATGAATGAGTAAACAGATCTCAAAGATCTGCTGTACCCTGTCCCAGTTCAGCACTACAACTGATACCAAAAACAGGATTCCTGAAACTATGGACCACTCTGCTTCTCCTGACTAGCTGGAAAAGGGGACATATAGCCAATAACTTACAGTCAGTCCTGAGTTGGGCCAAGAATTGGTCCTTATTTCTTCATGTTAGGATAGCTGTTTGACTATCCTGTTGTCACTTCTCACTGATCAAGACTGAAGAAGTTGTATTTGATGACCAAATGGAAAGACAGCATTTCCCCCTAAATTTAAGGCATAAAGGACCCTGGAACATGGAATCCTCATCTGTTCTAAGGAAGGAGAAATGAGAGCAGGGTATTCTCAGTCCTCAGCCAGCCAGCCAGTCTGCCTAGGATCCCAAGAAAAACAAAGATATCTACCTGCAGTTTCCAGCACAGTCCCCAGAGCT